AACAACATCGAGGCCTCTCATCTGTTTATCACTCAACTATCTACCCATGTTCTACCCGACATATTAATAGATAAATATATATATTTTTATACATAGTTTAAAACCTGTATAACATTCTCATTCAATACATATTCCAAACAACAGATGAGACACATACACATAACACGTATTTCATAGAGAATAAATCGTATTGATGAGATATAAGAAAGTGAATATACATTCACACATATAACACAAAATATACACATAACATGTATTTCGTATAAAATACTTCATAATTATGCGTTAGAAGAAAGTAACCACACACTCACTTGATCAGAAGATGATCGGACAACACTACGACTTGTAGAAGTATTATTCTTCGGTAGATCTGGAAGATCTTCACAAAAACCGGAATCCTCGCGGGCAGAGCTTCGGCTTGAGAATCGCACTTCTCGGGATCTCGGGAACGTAAAACTTCCTTCTTAACTTGGATATGAGATCCGGGGTGTCGGGATGGCTTTGGGGGTTCACACGCAGAGCTTCGGCACGAAAAAGAGAAGAATTGAGCAATTATGCCCGAAACCCTTGCATCCTATTTATAGGAGGCTGAGGCCTCGCCGTACGCTGGGCGTACAGCCTTACACGGGGCGTAAGCCTCCGAAATCGTCACTGCATGCGTCATCTGAAGAACTCGAGTGCGAGGTACGTCATGCTTCGCGGTACGCTGGGCGTACTTCGGATGAGTCCGGTGACTCCTCTTCGGATAATATCGGAATAAATAATTAAATTTAAATATTAATTATTTAATAAACTTTGAAAATTCATATCTTCTTCATACGAACTCCGTTTTCGACGTTCTTTATATCCACGCGTAGGTGAGACTACTCTACAACTTTCGTTTAGACTCCGTCGGCTAATTTTGACATTATTTTTATTATTTATTTTTAGTAGGCAGGGACAGGAAAACTTTGTTATAAATTCATAACTTCTTCGTCCGACGTCCGTTCTCGTCTAACTTTTCATCGTTTCGCTACTAACAACGAGATCTTCGATTCTTGTTTAGATTGCTTCGGCTAAAAACCGCTCGATCTCAAATCGAGTATTTCGGGCTGCATACCACTAAGTCGAAACTTCAGAAAATCATAACTTCCTTATACGAAGTCAGATTTGGGCGTTCTATATATATACGGTAACCTCGTTTCGGCCACTACAACTTTATGCAAAGATATTGAGTTTATTTTACACTTAAATTTTGACGCTTATTTTATTCTTAATTAATCAAATCACATAATTAAGCAATTAAGCACGAAACACATAATACACAAATAATACGCTCTTATTATTTCAAAATGGGTTGCAAAGGTTAACCTAGACTATTACATCAACGAAAATGTCTAGCCTGGAAACACGGGCGTTACACCGTTTGACTTGTTTAACTTCACACATATAGTCTTTATCACCTGTTACTCCAGTCAATCCAGAAAAAATGATTTAAATGGGTAATATATTTGTCACTTTGTATACATTTAGTCCTTAATATATTTTTTTTTGCATATTTAATACTTAATATATTTTTTGCACATTTAGTCCTTAATATTTTTTTTGTTGCAAAATAAGTGTTTGTTATTTTTGTACACATTCAATGCTTATGAACGGTTTCTTTAGGTTTTCTCACGACATCCTATATGTGACAACCATTAATGAGATGTTCGGGGTTGGTCATGCTTATGGCCACCATAACCTTGATTGCTTGGTGCTTAGGACTTAAGTTGTAAACGTCGTAACTTCTTCATACGATCTCAGATTTTAACGATATTTATATCCACGCGTTCGTATTTGAGCCTACTATAATCTTCACTTCTGTTAAAAAGTAATATATTTTTATTTACAATTTTATAAAAAAAAGCATTGATACATACATTCATAAAGAACACATGTATATAAAGATCGTAAGTAAAAAATATATTACTTTTTAACGGGAGTAATCTAAATGAAAGTTGTATGTAACGCCCCGACTCTTAGGTATTAATATTATGGCTTTAATTTTCATAAATTGCAAGGTCTACTCGACGAGTTGGATGACCTGACTCATCGATTAGAAGCGGGTTGGGCTACATGTTTAAGTGACCTACTCGTCAAGTCCAAGATAGGACTCGACGAGCAGGAGCTGGAGGAAGAAACCCTACTTTGCGGGGTTTTGCACCATATCTAAAGGATTATTAGCCCCTTTACAGCCTCTTGAGAGTCCAGCAAACCCTAATCCATGTGTGTGCTCCATTCTTAATCCATGTGTGTGCTCCATTCTTATGTGTTTTAAGCTTAGAAGGTGGATCCTAGAAGGTGGATCCTAGTGAGAAGAGCTTAAAGATCAAGTAGCTAGAAGCAAGGAACGTGTGGGGATCTGAAATCTACCTCAGTTTAGCATCATTTGAATGTATCAAGTCATTACATTGATCTCATTTCCATCCAAATCTCATTTGGTTAATGATTAGAGCTTTTCTAGCATGTTAGGAAGCCATTCTTGGGTATGAGCTACGATCTTAAGTTGCAACTTCGGATCTGAACTCTCCTTGGTCTCTAAGTCCATAAAGTTTCCAGCTTTAGCACTTGTAGACCTCTCCTTAGGTATAAAACTCTATTACAAGCTTGGATTTGACATTCTAAGTCATTTAGAGTCTTGCATGCACGTAAAGTTTGCAACTTTACATGATAAACATGCCTTGGGAAGCTTGATATGCAATATGGAGCCCTAAAATGGCTTAAAAAGCATCTGAATGGATAAAGGACTGAAGGGACTCGACGAGTTGCATGGTCAAATCTGCGAGTCCGATGAAGATTGTTGTGCAAGGACTTCTGCATGAACTTGGCGAGTAAGTAGGGTGACTCGGCGAGTCAGCTAGGGTTTACGCAGGAACTCGACGAGTTACGGGGAAACTCAACGAGTCAGTGGGGGATTTCACGACGACACGAGTTCTAAAAGGACTCAACGATTCAATGACTTCACTCGATGAGTCGGCTCAACATGGATTGTTGTCCTTGACCGTTGATTTTGACTTTGATCAAGGGTTGACTATTTGACTTCTGTGACATTTTGGGTATTTATGAATATGGTTCTATGGTGAATATAGGTGGTGGAGTTTGTAGCAGTGATCCGAGAGTTTGAGCTTATCACTTCGAGTCGACAGTTGATAGGTGAGTTGCCTCACTATACTAAGGGGTCTAAGGCACCAAGGACGGCCCATTGGATATGACATCCTAGCAGTTGGAAGTATGCTAAGTATGTGTTAGAGTTGCATACTAGTTGTTATGCCAGTTAGGAAGATCTATAGGATTACCTGTGTTGTTATGTGGTTATATGTATGCACATTAGTGGTGTTATATGTTGACATATTATGTGGGATGGGTTGAGGTGATACTGCTTCTTGCGGTGATCCAACAAACCTGGGAGCATTCCAGATACGAGCTGAGGGAGACTCGTAGTGTGGGCTCGGGAGCATTCCAATTACGAACTGAGGGAGACTCGTACTGTGGGCTCGAAGGCAATCCAGATGTGAGTAGTGGGCCCGGAAGGCGAGTCACACTATGGGCCCAGGGGTAATCCAGTCTGTAGAGGTGTGGACCTAGTACATAATGTTATTTGTAAATGTATTATGTGCAGTGTATCAGTATTTGGTGTGTGTGTGTGTAGGGGGGGGGGGGGTACTCACTAAGCCTCGGGCTTATAGTTTCAGTTCATTGTTTCAGGTACATCTAAAGATCACGACAAGGCAAAGGTGTGATTGTACAGCTCCTCATATTTATGTTTATGTTTCTAGGATACTCTGATATTACACATTTTGAAAATAAGTTTTGTAATGGTTAATGGTTTTGAAACGTTTTTCTTTTGTTTAAATTTGGCATGATTTATATGGGTGTTACATTGTAGTAGACTCAAATACGAACGTGTGGATATATAAATTAATAAAATCCGAGATTGTATGAATAAGTTACGACATTCAGAACACAAGACCTAAGCACCAAACACGTAAGGTCATGATGGCCATAAGCATGAACATGCTCGAACACCTCATTAATGATCGTTCTATATAGGATGTCGTGAGATAAACATAAATAAACCGTTCATAAGTATTGAATGTGTACAAAAACAATGACTTATTTTGTAACAAAAAAATATTAAGGACTAAATTGGTAGAAAGCGAGAAATATATTACCCTACTAAGTTATTTTTTCCGGTTTATCTAGAGTAGCTGGTCATAATGACTGAATTTATACAGTTAAACAAGTTGAAGGGGAAAATATAGACGGAAAAAAACTCAATGACCAAATGTGTACAAATCGAAAAGTATGTTACCCTTTTAAGTCATTATCCCAAAGTGTAAATGATTCTTACAGATGAAAATAGTAACTAAAATGATTATGTAAGTTTATGAAACATTTAGTAACATATTATATAATTGGACCATTATTAAATATGAGAGAGAGAGAGAGAGAGAGAGAGAGAGAGAGAGAGAGAGAGAGAGAGAGAGAGAGAGAGAGAGAGAGAGAGAGAGAGAGAGAGAGAGAGAGAGAGAGAGAGAGAGAGAGAGAGAGAGAGAGAGAGAGAGAGAGAGAGAGAACGTATGAATTTAACACTCCATATGTTCGTACTATAGTTACTAAAAAAATGATTTATGTATTGTCAATATCATGTAATTATATTATCTATCAAAATGAATAAGTTTTGATAAACAATGTCATCAATATAATAAATTCAATCAAATAATAGCTACTGATTCTTAATGAAATTAAAATAGAATGAAATATAGGTACCAAGCTATGACACTCAATTTTGTCTCCACACATAAAGAAAGAATATGGGCTTTGTTTAATCTAATGAAGTGTACAATTATTTTTACACATGCTACAATTTACTATTGCATGGATTTGAAAAGAGTTTACCATAACTTCGAGGTACATTTGTGGTCCTTGCACATCCCTCTCTAACTTTTCCTTGTCAAAAAAGTAAATTCCAATTCACCCCACCACTCACTTTATCTTCATATAAATTCATCACTTCACTTATTATATAAATTCCAAAAAATATAAAATGGAGAGAAAGAGTAACAAAGTTTCCTCTAGAGAAAAGTTGAACATGACAAAGAGCGACTTAGTGAATGACAATTATGATCATGAGCTTATGGGCGGCAGCTACGGCGGCGATGGCGAAGATGGTGGTGGTTCTTCCAATGGAGATGTAAAGAAGAAGAAGGGGTGTCAGAATAGTGGTGGTTTAAACAGTGTTACAAGATGTTGTCAAGCTGAAAAATGTACAAGTGATTTAGCTGAAGCTAAACAATATCATCGAAGGCATAGAGTATGTGAGTTTCATGCAAAGGCTCATGCTGCTATTATTGCTGGTATCCACCAAAGATTCTGTCAACAATGTAGCCGGTTAGTCATTTTTCTATATAATTCTTAAAAACATAACAAATTTTTGTGGTATATCAAAGATATCGTACGTAATCTTCAAACACAAAATTGTATGTTTTTCAAGAGGTACCTAATGATCGTACAAGACTAACTAACCACTTAAATTTTAAATATTAAATGAACAAGTCTTAATCTTTTAGTTATAAGTTTAAACATCATTTGTTTAATTAAAAGTGATTTAAATAGTAATAAGAAATTGGAGTATTGTTGGAGAATGGTAGACTTTACCTTTTACGGGTGCTATTAATTTATGTCAATCATTTTCACATATTGACATAACATGTGAGAATCTTTGTAGTTGTCTTGGGAAATAAATTACAATTTCTCATAAGAACACATTTTCATCCCCAAGAAAAATTAAAAATGGTGATCTTTTTCTATTATAAAAAAATAGCTTGAGCATTTTAAAATTATTTATTAATTTATTGGCTTTTTGAAGAGCCAATAAGTTAAAAAAAAAGTTTGACAAACACTAATTTTACAGGGAAAAAAATGGTTTCCTAAAATACCAATAAACATTTTGAAAAACAATCTCAAAGACACATGACTCAACTTGGAGTCTTTTGTTAAAAAAAATTAATTTTATTTAGATGACCATTTAATTCTTCAACTATACTAGTAAATATTTTTTGTACTACCATAAAGCCACAAAGGACTACAATAGTTGTCATTTTGAACTTTTTACATGAAATTGAAAAAAGGTTCAATATGTGTAGTAAATATCATTGGCCAAAACAATCGAACTATTAAAAAAAGTAAGGGTCTTTTTTGGGAATCAGGTTTCATGAGCTTTCAGAGTTCGATGACGCCAAAAGAAGTTGTAGGAGACGTTTAGCAGGGCACAATGAAAGGCGCAGGAAGAACTCAATGGAGTTCAAAGGCACTGGGAAGGAACTTGTTTGTGTGCAAAGTGACGATAGGAGGTTTCAAATGGTTATACAAGAAAACCAAACTTATAATAATAAACATTTGCAAACCAGATGAAATACCAAAATAAAATCAAGACATGGAGTATGCTCTCTCTCTTCTGTCACTACTTATAATTGTAGTAATTCAACAACAGTGTATGCACGACACACACTATTGTCGAATGCTAAAAAAAATATTGCTTAACCCCCTGAAAAATGTATCAGTTTCTCTAGTATTATGTGTAACCATCGGTGTAGTTTAATGTTGTATCAACTAATTATGTATCATGGATAATTTGTTTTACTTGGCATTTGTGGAATATTAAAAACTGAGCATAAAAACTATAAAACTCACTTTTACAATTAGAAATCAATACTATATTTTTTAAAAAAATTATGTTACATTTGAATTTTATAACATTTCTTTCTATGAAAAAATTATGTTACTTTAATAAAAATGTTTGTCATTTTTTTTAGATAAAGTAAAAGAACCTGTTGTTAAAAAAAGTTTCTTAACCGCATGAAAAATGTATCAATTTCTCTAGTATTATGTGTAACCATTGGTGTAGTTTAATAATGTTGTGTCGACTAATTATGTATAATAGAGAATTTGTTTTGCTTACATTTGTGGAATATTTGAAAACTGAGCATAAAAACTATAAAAAACCCACTTTTACAATGCTTTTGTTACTTTTGTTACATCTGAATTTTATACCATTTCTTGCTATGAAAAAATTATGTTAGTTTAATAAAAATGCTTTTGTCATTTTTTTAGATAAAGTAAAAAAACCTGTTGTTAAAAAACGTTTCTTAACCCCATGAAAAATGTATTGGTTTCTCTAGTATTATGTTAACCATTGGTGAATTTGTTTTACTTGGTATTTGTGGAATATTGAAAACTGAGCATAAAAACTATAAAAACATTATATTTTAAAAAAAATTATGTTACATCTGAATTTTATAACATTTCTTTCTATGGAAAAAAAATTATGTTACTTTTAATAAGAATCTATTGTTAAAAAAAGTTGTTTAACCCCATTAAATGTACGAGTTTCTCCAGTATTATGTGTAACCATTGGTGTAGTTTAATAATGTTGCCTCGAATAATTATTATGTTTACACCATAAAAGATGGAATACTTTTAATAAATAATTGATGTTACATCTGAATTTTATAACTATGAAAAAATTATGTTACTTTAATAAAAACGCTTCTGTCATTTTTGGCAGAATTTGTAATCAACATAAACAACAAATTACACCAAGATTTATTGATAAAGTAAAAGAACTGTTGTTAAAATCATGGAATCTTCAGCCTCACGTTATGAGAAAAAACTTGATTTTAAATGGTCTAGAGTTCGATTTCAACAATCCAAGCAATCATAATATTTGTTGAGATGTTTTCCTTCAATAAAATCTAATTAGACTAAATACAATTTAAATCCACTATTTGTAACCAACATAAACAACAAATTACACCAAGATTTATCTATAATATTCAAGAGTTCTTGAACAGAAAATCAATATTTTTTTTTTTTCCACACATCATCATCACCTCATATTCGATGCAGCACTTGAAGTCGCTGCAGCCACCACCATCTTTCTTCTTTCATTTATCTTCAATCTTGGCGACCTTGCTTTCGTCACTCCTTTTGATGACCTAATAAATATATTTTACAATATTACCTTCAATTTTTCACAAATTGACATTTTCGATCTAATAAAAATATATTTTACAATATTATTACCTTCGGGGTAAGAAAGGTTTGTTGAAATTAGGCACCGGTCTTGCCTGAGGCACCAAAGTCCTTCTCAATTGTTTTAACGCCTTTTCTTCTTCCATCTAATCGAGACACAAATTAAATAAATATTTTTCTTTTTGACAATTAAAAAATAAGTATTAATTATTATATACCATCTTTGCAGATTCTGCCTCATCTCTATATCTCTTGTACATCATCTCTTTCTCTTTGACTTTTTGGTCAAACTCGGCTCTATTCACAGCTCTGTGTTCTACATGCAATTCGAATTCTTGAACTTCGGTTAAAGGTCTTCGGATTTTCTCGGGAACTGGAATCGGATCCCTGAAAAGTCAAACAAAGTCAACATTTTTTTGTCCAATAATTTATAAATGAAAGTATGTTGTTATTTTTCTCTTACTCTTTTAAGATTGGTTGAGCTTTGAATAATCTCATCTTAGCTTCTTCCTCTTCTATTCTCTTTCGTTCTTCCATTTCCCTTTGCATTTCCTCTTCATGTCTCACCACACTCTCTAACTGAAACGGTTCTGGTTTTGTGCACTGTTTTGGCTCCGGTTTTGGAGGAACCTTTTTATATAATATATATAAATATAAATTATATTTAAATATGTAACTCAAAAAAGAAAAATTAGGGTTTTGTTTTAGTTTAGTTTTTAGTTTTTAGTTTTGTATGCGTACCACAGGGTAATCGGTGGTATATGGATAAGGGGTAGCTTTGGGAATTCTGGCTTTCTCCTCTTCGATTTGTTTATGGATAATATCCATGACAAATTTTTTTTCCTTTTCTGCCCCTCGTTCCTCGGTGTGTAGATGGAAAGGATTTGGTGCAGTGAGTTTAGGAATTGGTTTCTGGTAGGTGGAAGAATCTGAGCATAATGAGAGCTGTAAAAAAAGAAAGAAACAAACAAATTTTCAGTTAGTTAAAAAAAAAAAAAAAAGCGGCGGAAGGAGGTAGGTGGTGGTGGGAGGCGGCAGCGGGTGGTGGTGGTGAACTACTAACCTTATCAAACAATTCGGAAACATTTGGAATCGGAGGTGGAATCCTTTCATCAATTGCGAAGTGGAATTCTTGAGGGATTGTGACTTGTCGTTTTTTGTTGCAAAATAGCCCCAACTCCCCTTTACTTTCGAATATCTACAAAATAGTTTTATCAAACAACACAAATGAGTGTTTTGGACAGGGGCATTATGGTAATTATGGTGGTAATTTACACATGCATAAGAGAGATGAAGAAAGAATGTGTCCCTATCCCATCTTTCCGACAACTAGCAGGGGGGACAAAAAGTGAGAATTTAGACCAGGGGCATTATGGTAATTTACTATACCTTCTTGTTCAAAGGTCTGGCTTTGAACTTAGGTGCTTTCTCGAGTTCTTCTTGTTCTAATTCTTCGGTTGTTTTAATAGTTGGAGGTCGTGCTCTCACTAACGTTTGTAGTGGTGGTGTCTTGGGTGTAGTAAGATGTGGCTTCCATTTATGAACAACCTTCTACAAAATAAAAATAAAAAATAAAATAAACAATCAGCCAAAATACAACTTTAAAAAAAATCCAAAAGAATAATTTTTTTTTTTTTTTTTTTTTTTTTACCTGTGGGACTGCTTCATTTGATGCAACAGTAGAAGTTTCTGCATTCTGATTGGCTCTTTCCATTGTCTGCAAATGAAATTCTTGGAATTCGGGAACTTGAGGTGTGCTTCTTTTCATTGCGGGTAATGTTGGAGCTTCAAGTATCTGTTTAAAAAAAACATTTTTCTTTTTTAACAAAAAGAAAAATCCATTTTTGATTTCTTGATATTATTATTATATAATTACCTTTTTGTTGACTGGACGAGCTTTGAATTTTGGGATTTTGGCCATCAGTTCTTCTTCGAGCTCTGCTGAACTTTTGAGTTTAATTGTGCGAATGCGTTGTGATGTTTCAAACGCGGGTTCTTTTGGTCTTGTTAATGTTAGTTTTGACTTTCTTTGTTGCGTTAATGGATTATTACCATCGTGACCCTATAAAGAAAAAAAAAACCATTATTAGATAAAATGAAATTATCATTTAGGGTAAAAATTCAAGAAATTGCAACATACTTTCAATGTAACAAATTTACTTTCATTGAAAAAGAATTTGGTAGAGTTTTCAAGGTAATAGACTTATTTAGGGTTAAAAATAAAAACTGTTGGAATGAAAATAAAATAGCAACAAATTTTCACTGTAAAAAGTTATAATACCAAAAAAAAAAAAATAATACATGTGAGACTGAAGAAGCACGAGGAGGCAGATTGAGATCCCTTGTGCCTGATTGAAATTTCCTCATCATTTCAGCCACAGAAACAAATGGAGTCTGTGCATGTTCACGAACATACATCTGTTCATTTCAAGAAAAACAAAAAACATAAGATCAAATCATTTTTCTATATGGAGATTATAATAATAAAATATAAAAACTCAATGAAACAAACCTTTCTTTCTTCCTTTTGGGAAGTTGATGTGGTTTTTGTAACAACACCTGGTCTTGCTTTGTGGGGTAAAATTTGTGTTTTGATATTAAGAATTTGTCGGGTTTTTCCTCCTTCAAGTTTCTGCCTTTTTATGGCTTGGTTTTCTTGAACAAAAAGATTAGGAGTTCCAGTTGGTTTATTTGTTTGATTTGTTGTATCCCTGAAAATATAATATCATGTAAGAAAAATAGGACATTTAAACAAAGTATTGTTTTGTTAGGTTTTGAAAAAGATTATGCTCACCTTCGAACAGTAGCTGGTGTTTTAGTGGCTTTGAGTTGTGATGATTGACTTTTTGACTTGAGAGATGATGGATTCTTCAATGCAGTAGCAATCTTTCGAGCTGTTTGATGATTCTTGGACACTGTTTGGGATATGTTGTTGTTCTTTTGAGAACTGACACGTGGTTTTGGGGTGTCGTTGACCTTCTGGTCAACAGATAACTAGTAAAAAAAAAGACAAGAAGTTTTGGTTAGAAATGGAAAGTTGAATAAAATCAAAGAGTTCTTCTTTTCTAGTAGAATACCTGATTGGGAAGGCTTTCTTTGCGTCCATTTATTTCATCTTTTGAGGTTATATCTTCCTTACTTTTAACAGTATCAAGCTCAGTTTTTTCACTGATTTTGTTGAAAAAAGAAGAGAGAGTTAAATACAATTGTAAGCATAATGGGAATTCAAAATTAGAAAATTTAGATATTATGAAAGTTGAGTTGCAAGACCTTTGTTTCTCT